GAACAGGCTTTTCCCATCAAGTTGCTACAACTGGGAATATCCAGAACACGGATTTTAAAGAGGAAAACAAACCAAGACTGAAGAAGGGAAGGTGCTGTCCTAGTGGTTTGGCTTGCTTCATGCAGCTGACTTTTCATAGGAGCAGCGAGCTGAGCCTTCATCCTCCACGCCACTGCTTTATCCTCCAAGCCATCGCTTCCTCTTCCATGTCATGGCTTCATCCTCCACACCATTGCTTTACCCTCCACGCCATGGCTTGGTCCTCCACGCCACTGCTTCATCCTCCATGTCATTGTACCCACTGTGCCTCCAAGTCCTCCTTGGTGCTTTCACCCTTCCCCCAGAAGTCATATATAAAACTTGCCACTTCATTCCTTTGTAATAATTGACAGAACTAGTTCAGTTGGTTAAAAATATTAAAATACCTACAAATAGGTAAGTAGAGATTTTGTTTGGGTTTAAGGGAACATAGAGCCAGGAAGAGGGAGGTAAAGGAGGTGTCAAGAGAGCTCTTCTATGAAGGTGGGCTGAAAGCCCAGGCTCTGTACTCATCTTCTTCTCCCCTGGCCCTGCTGGGATGTATAATATTCATGCTTCATGCTTCTCCTTTCTACTTGTAGACTGCTAGCCACGAAGGTTCTGGAACAGAGTCCAGAGACTGACCGCCTTCTGTGGATATCTTGTGGCACCCACCTGAACACCCAAAGGTCCTCAGCACTTGACAGTCCAGCAACAAAGCGTTTCTGAGTTTTAAATGGATGAAAGTAGGAGCTCATCTGTAGCAATTCTTCCAACATAAAATACATGGTGCTCTCCACTATACCTAGTCAAAGCAGAAGGTCTTTCTGGGCAGAAACAGAATCTGACAGGAGCAGATATAATTAAAAATGCACCGTGCCACGCTATAAAGCCGATGTAAATTCCTGTATTTTGTAGGGCAGCAAATCTGTAGCAGTCTCAGAAAGTGACCAAGTTCATCTGTATCTTTCTGTGCTTTCTATAAGAAATATATTGCAAAATGAAGTAACCCAAAAGTGACTGGCTAAAACTTACAGGAAAGGGAGTACTATAAAGTTGTGCCATGCTGTTTATCAAAATACTATATTATCTTGCAACTTTTTTAAAATTTATGGTCCTTGTTGCTGAAAGATAAATGGGAGCAGTGGAGGATGGGACTCTGAGAAGTCTCCCAAGATCACATGGTCTCAAACTGTATGATCTTTCTCCCTAATTATTGTAGTCTCTTCCCACAAGCTCTGTGAGACTAAAATCTGATTTTGTTGATCTCTACAGACTGCGTTCAGCAGGTGCTTCATAAGTGTTATGGAAGGCAAGAGTAAAGATTACCTTCTGGAGGCAGCTCAGCAGTAGCCTGAATTGCATATTGTACAGTCCCGAATTACACAAACTTTTATCATAAAAATTGACCTAAATTCTGTGGATTTAACACCTATCTCAAAGTACTGCTATGCATTATTTACATCTCTAATATTTTTCAGTATGAGCATCATCTTCGAAGAGTACTATTTGTAGACTGCCATTGTTCTGATCCATCCTGTATAGAAGAAAGCATCTTTGTTTCTATTTTGGGTATGACTAGGTCCCATTCTTGCTCTTCACGATCTGCTTTATGGACTTTCAATTCTCCAGGCTCTCAAGGTTATTTGAGGGCAGGTCCTAGGGTTCTGTACCTGTGTCCTGAAAGCAGTTTGGATTACCATTTAATGGCCTTATACTGACAAGGCCTTCTAAGGTGCTCATTGCCAGCCTGGACTCAGTCTCATCTCTTGACCACCACCACCCCCCACACACACACCCTGGGTTTCCACAACCACAACACCCTTGCAGGTCTGGCTGGCCATTGCTGATGGTTTGTATGCAGGATGCTCTTTAGAGCCCAGCCAACCTGATTTGGATCCTGGAAGTGTCATTTTCCATGTGAAATTCAAACACTTTACTTAACATCTGCATGCCTCAGCTTTTCCCAGATATACAATGGGCACTAGCAATGCTAAAATCAGAGGGATTCATTTAGGCAGAGTGCTCAAGACAGTGTCTGGAGCATGATAATATAACAACTTTTTTTTAGCTCTGGTCCTTATTATTAGTAAAGTCAAATCCATATCGTGGCTCTTCTCTCATCACATCCAAGCCAGGCGCCCTGTGCTCCTGACCAGAACCAGACAGGGTGGCCCTGTTGTAGGAGGGTAAATTCTCAGCTTACATTTAAGTAAGTGAAGGAATCGGAACCATAAAGCAATTTGTGAGACCAGGAGTGGATAACCGTGCAGATGAAGTCAAAGAGCGCCAACAATGCAGAGAGTCTTTCTGCACCAAAATGGCAGGCACAATGACTTTAGAAGGAAAATCCCAAAACTGGCTGTGTTACAACCTGGCTGTTACTCAATCTCATCCAGAGGACATGTCACCAGCTCCCTCCATTTCATCCAGAAGACCAGCACACCTCCATAACCCAGACAACAGGAGACCAGCTCCCTCCATCCCATCCAGAAGGACGACATGGGACCAGCACCCTCCATCCCATGGGACCAGGAGTGAGAGGAAAGGAAGGGGAACTGCAGGAGGAGGGGAGGAGGAGGGACAAACTGCAGAAAGAGGGAAGGAGGATGAAGGACAAGAAGCAGGAGGAGGGGAGGGAGTGGGAGTAACTGCAGAGAGAGGAAAGAGAAACGTGGTAGGGGGGAAGCAGGGGGAGCAGAGGGCAGGGAGAGAGAAGGGGGCAGAGGGCCCGGAGGGCAGGGGTGTGGGGGGGAAGGGAGCTGGGGAGAGGCATGGGGACATAGGGAGCAGGGGAGAGAAGCATGGGGAGCAGGGGCAGGGGGGCGGGGAGCAGAGGGCGGGGGCAGGAGGAAGGGGACGG